CACTTTTTTTGAGAATTTGACTTTTTTTGAGTTTTTTTTAAATTTCACTTTTTTTTTTACTACTAGTTTAGTTACTAAACTAGTAGTAAAAAAGACACAAAAAAAAGTAAATCATTTGAGACTGGAATCTTTATAACTTTTTTTTTTTTTTACGACGCCTACTATTTTTTCTTACAAAAAGCGAAAAGAGTTCCTTTTATGTCTTCAAAAAATATTAATTGATAAACTTCTTGTTGCATGGATACGTACAAATCTCTTTTGAAATTTTCTTTCATGCATAAATTTCTTCAGTGAACGATAAAACAATTATTAAGAAAGTTTCTATACATTTAGTAAGGTGACTTTCTAGTGGAAGACTTTGTTGTCAAACGCACTTCACTGAATTATTCATCCTACCAACTAGTTACAGTCTTCCCTAATAATAGAAAGAAGTAAGATTAACAAAGAAGTAACAAGGCCATAAAATTTATGTTTGATAAAAATAATATTTTTAACATAAATATGTTTAATATTTTTTTATAAATTAAAAAAAATATATTTAAAGTTATTAAGAGAATCAAAGTAACTAATTTCTTTTTAGAATTTTTAGCTGATTCAGCTGTTTCAGTTTTTAGCTGATTCAGCTGTTTCTTTTTAGCTGTTTCATCCAACATTTTTATGAGCAAAAGTTCCAAATTTTGTCAATAATAGAGAGTAAGTCTGCTTAAGCCTGTTGATGTAAAAAGTTGCATTTAAGGGTTGTCAGTAAGACCTTTCAAATAATTCATTGTTTAACAAAATCGAAATGTTAAACATCTGAAGAAATAATTAATAATGATATAATTATAAGTTAAAAATGATAAAATAATAACTATTAAACATTAATAATAATTAATACCCATTAGCATTAAATATTATGTTCACGCTTTTTGAGCAAGTCGGGTATTAGTCTCCGTTGTGCGCACTGCGGTTTATCAGCGGGTCGGGTATTAGCACCCAATTTAGTTTTTTTTCATTTAAAAAACCAAGAATTAATGACAGTTATTTGTTCAAGTAGTCAAACAGAAGTAATTCGCATAAACAGTGTATTTTGTTTTATAAAATGTTTGGTAATTTAACTTAAGTTTATATTTTATATACTGCATACTTATATACCATATTTTATTTGTTATATTTTATATATTATTTTGAACGTATCTGCAGAGGCAATTCTACAAATAAAATGAGGTAAGGTGATTCCTTAAAAAATACCGACTGGTCTGCGTATCTGAACTGTATATTTTAAATATTGTATATTTATTTGTTATGTTTTATTTATTATCTTTCATTTATGAAGCTGATATTTTATTTATTATATTTTATGTTTTAGATATTTTTTTTTTTATAAAACCATTTAAAAATCTGAACATTTTATTCAAAAAATAAAACACTGTTGATAAATTTATTTTTATAATGACTTATTGTTTTTCAAACTTAGGTGGAAAAATCACTTATTATTACTTTTTTAAAGTATTTAAAAAAACAGTTTCCTTTAAGAAGACGCACTTCACAAAATTGGCACATTCGCAAGTTCAACTTTTTTTTTTTTTTTTTTATGCGTAGTACAAACACGGTACTGGGGTTTTACTTTTATGCCGCCTGTAAAAATATCCTTACATTTTTTGTAAATAAGTCTACAATTGTAGACTTGCAAAAAATATAACTTATATTTTAACATATTAACACATTAAAGCAATTACTTTTTTTGCCAAATAACCCATAAAATTAGTTATTTAACTGTATATTAAAGTGTACACTTTGATAAAATGCCACGATACGTCATGAAGATCTAAATATTGCCTAAAAAACACGTCAGAAATTAGGTAAGGTAACAAAGGGTATTTTGGGCTGTATTACAAACCTTTGAACCCTTGAAGATTCGACTTATTATATAAGCTAAAAGTAAAATAGATTTGTTTGTATAAAAAAATCCATGAAATAAAGAGTGGTTTATGGTAATTAAAGTTATTATGTTCACAAAATTAATACTTTTATTATTATAATCTAATTAAAATAAAACGCTCAAAAAAATAAAATGGCAACTTTTTGTTAACCTAAAGCGTCATTTAAACTCAAGCGTCATTTATTGTAAAATGCCATACTATCACTTACATTATTGTCAATTGTATAGTTTTAGTAGATGATTTTCTATTTTTTTTAATCTTGTCATCACTAGTATTTAATCTATGTCATCACTAGTATTTAATCTATGTCATCACTAGTATTTAATCTATGTCATCACTAGTATTTAATCTATGTCATCACTAGTATTTAATCTATGTCATCACTAGTATTTAATCTATGTCATCACTAGTATTTAATCTACGTCATCACTAGTATTTAATCTACGTCATCACTAGTATTTAATCTATGTCATCACTAGTATTTAATCTATGTCATCACTAGTATTTAATCTACGTCATCACTAGTATTTAATCTATGTCATCACTAGTATTTAATCTACGTCATCACTAGTATTTAATCTATGTCATCACTAGTATTTAATCTATGTCATCACTAGTATTTAATCTATGTCATCACTAGTATTTAATCTATGTCATCACTAGTATTTAATCTATGTCATTACTAGTATTTAATCTATGTCATCACTAGTATTTAATCTATGTCATCACTAGTATTTAATCTATGTCATCACTAGTATTTAATCTACGTCATCACTAGTATTTAATCTACGTCATCACTAGTATTTAATCTATGTCATCACTAGTATTTAATCTATGTCATCACTAGTATTTAATCTATGTCATCACTAGTATTTAATCTATGTCATCACTAGTATTTAATCTATGTCATCACTAGTATTTAATCTATGTCATCACTAGTATTTAATCTATGTCATCACTAGTATTTAATCTACGTCATCACTAGTATTTAATCTACGTCATCACTAGTATTTAATCTATGTCATCACTAGTATTTAATCTATGTCATCACTAGTATTTAATCTACGTCATCACTAGTATTTAATCTATGTCATCACTAGTATTTAATCTACGTCATCACTAGTATTTAATCTATGTCATCACTAGTATTTAATCTATGTCATCACTAGTATTTAATCTATGTCATCACTAGTATTTAATCTATGTCATCACTAGTATTTAATCTATGTCATTACTAGTATTTAATCTATGTCATCACTAGTATTTAATCTATGTCATCACTAGTATTTAATCTATGTCATCACTAGTATTTAATCTACGTCATCACTAGTATTTAATCTACGTCATCACTAGTATTTAATCTATGTCATCACTAGTATTTAATCTATGTCATCACTAGTATTTAATCTACGTCATCACTAGTATTTAATCTATGTCATCACTAGTATTTAATCTACGTCATCACTAGTATTTAATCTATGTCATCACTAGTATTTAATCTATGTCATCACTAGTATTTAATCTATGTCATCACTAGTATTTAATCTATGTCATCACTAGTATTTAATCTATGTCATTACTAGTATTTAATCTATGTCATCACTAGTATTTAATCTATGTCATCACTAGTATTTAATCTATGTCATCACTAGTATTTAATCTATGTCATCACTAGTATTTAATCTATGTCATCACTAGTATTTAATCTATGTCATCACTAGTATTTAATCTATGTCATCACTAGTATTTAATCTATGTCATCACTAGTATTTAATCTATGTCATCACTAGTATTTAATCTATGTCATCACTAGTATTTAATCTACGTCATCACTAGTATTTAATCTACGTCATCACTAGTATTTAATCTATGTCATCACTAGTATTTAATCTATGTCATCACTAGTATTTAATCTACGTCATCACTAGTATTTAATCTATGTCATCACTAGTATTTAATCTACGTCATCACTAGTATTTAATCTATGTCATCACTAGTATTTAATCTATGTCATCACTAGTATTTAATCTATGTCATCACTAGTATTTAATCTATGTCATCACTAGTATTTAATCTATGTCATTACTAGTATTTAATCTATGTCATCACTAGTATTTAATCTATGTCATCACTAGTATTTAATCTATGTCATCACTAGTATTTAATCTACGTCATCACTAGTATTTAATCTACGTCATCACTAGTATTTAATCTATGTCATCACTAGTATTTAATCTATGTCATCACTAGTATTTAATCTACGTCATCACTAGTATTTAATCTATGTCATCACTAGTATTTAATCTACGTCATCACTAGTATTTAATCTATGTCATCACTAGTATTTAATCTATGTCATCACTAGTATTTAATCTATGTCATCACTAGTATTTAATCTATGTCATCACTAGTATTTAATCTATGTCATTACTAGTATTTAATCTATGTCATCACTAGTATTTAATCTATGTCATCACTAGTATTTAATCTATGTCATCACTAGTATTTAATCTATGTCATCACTAGTATTTAATCTATGTCATCACTAGTATTTAATCTATGTCATCACTAGTATTTAATCTATGTCATCACTAGTATTTAATCTATGTCATCACTAGTATTTAATCTATGTCATCACTAGTATTTAATCTATGTCATCACTAGTATTTAATCTATGTCATCACTAGTATTTAATCTATGTCATCACTAGTATTTAATCTATGTCATCACTAGTATTTAATCTATGTCATCACTAGTATTTAATCTACGTCATCACTAGTATTTAACAATTTTTACTTTGATGATTTTTATTTTAACTGATAAATTTATCTGACATTAATATATACATATTATTGCTTAATCGTTTATTGATTATTTAACATTTTAACCATCTATTCTGTAATTTTTTACTTCACTAACGTATTGTGTTTAACATTGTTTAAAGCAAATTAATATAAGTTATTCTATAAAAGTTATACCTAATTATTTTTTTATAAACCTATTTTATTTAAAAAGCTGGTGCGATTAATACGAATATTAAAGAATATAAAAATTTAACTTTAACAATGAGTTTATGAATTTAAATATATTATTTTATAAAATATAACTTTATGTTCATACTCATAGTTTGTGTTTATAGATGTCAGGACCATACAATATTTTATAAAGATTGGAACAAGTTAAAGGTATCAGTGCTGGTGAATATACATACTATTAATATCTTATTAATATCAATTCCAAATATATTATAATTTTAGATTTTATATCTATTAAAGGTCTCAACAACAATTTGTCGAACAGAATAGAAATTTTACAAACTTGATCAAGTTGTCGAAAATGGGTTTACATTATTGTAGGACTTCTACATCCAAAATCTTCTTCCAGAGGGGCGTTTAAAAAATGTATCTTCTTCCAGAGGGGCGTTTAAAAGCAAATTTATACTCTTTTTATAATAGGAAAATGTTTCATCTGTTGCTTTATTTTCACCTTTAAAAAGCCTTAAGAAAAAGAAAACATTTTTCAACCAGAAAAAGACAGGTGCGGAAAATGTGCACAGTATGAAACTGGTAATTTATCTTCAGATGTATTTAAAACTCATCAAAAAAAAAGCTAAACCAAAAGTTGAGATAAAGTTGGACAAAAAAAATTCCAAAAATATATTTTTTTCAATATATAATTTCAAAATCTAATGTTTTTAGCATTTACCGCAAAACAAAACTGATCGCCTAAAATTTATAACCAGGTGACAAAAGATGTTCATTGCTATCTAAGGAACGAGAGCAAGGGACGAGTGCTGAAAAGTTTGCTCACTTCTTCAAAGATTACCACAAACAAATTCCTTCCCTCAATGCTTAAAAATTAGAAAAGAAAAATAATCATTTACAGCATTACATCACAATTGTACAAATTTTTGAGAAAAATGACACTAAAATGCCCGTGGACTCCATGCGTCCTACAATTGAGTTGTATATAAAAATAATACATAAATATAAGAAGGTATGCGCGTAAAAAAATGAAAGCTGTGTACAATTGAATATTTTACTTTTGACAAATTAAAAAAATTTGCTAGTGTGTCATTTTTAAAGAATAAACACCCAGGGACTTAAGTTGATGACCCCGTTGTGACAGATACTAGAGACATTATGTATCAATCCGATGATATAATAAAAAAAATAAATTAAGATTTCCTGATAGGTGGGCTGTCCTACTATAAAGATTAAATAAAAACGTATTTCTAAAATTTTTTGAAGATCTTCCACCATTGCATACTAACCAGTGTTATTAGTCCTTCGCTTTGGCCTTGGCTTTGAAACTGTTGGCCTTGGTCTTGAAAATTTTGGCCTTGGCCTTAAGACAAATACATATTTTTTAATTGTTTTGTTGAGTTCTGAACATAACCTTGGTCTATTTTTACAAAAGGTGGTTTCATTTTCACAGCACTTGCTACTTACAGTTTTGTGAAGAAGTGGCCTTAACGTATTGCAAAAATTGAAGTCTTAAGTCTTAAAAACCTTGCGTACGTCTTTGGTCTTGAATCTTTTAATCTTGGCTTTGATCTCAAAATTCTTGTCCTTGGCCTTAAAACTTTTGGCCTTTTCCTTCTAACTTGTGGCCTTGGCCTTCTAACTTGTGGCCTTGGCCTTGCTACTTTTGGCCTTGTTAACAACTCTGATACCAACCATATTAAAACTAAACAGACAAAATAAGAAGTAGTGATGTGCCGGGTACCCGGTTCGGACCCGGAGACCCGGTAATTCGGCAGTTTTACCGGGTACCCGGTATCGGCCATTTTGTTGCAGTACCCGGCACCGGGTATCTTCAAATTGATTTTTCTTTAGTTAAACTTTAACCATTAAACTTCTTGATATAAGTTTAAGAGTGTTATGTAGTCGATAACTACAAAGTTCTATTAACTTAACACAATCTCACTTAAAATATTTTTTAATACACTTTTGCAAAAAAAATTTATACGGATACAAAAACTGTAACGCTAAATGAAATAATTCGAGAATACGAATAAAAAGAATGGGAAACAAAGTTTTAGAATAGCTTCTTTTTATTCTGTTAGAACACAAGATAATTTTTAGCAATTTAGTTTTGAATGAAACGCTTATAATGCTTTCGAACGCTGATAGACTTTTCATTCGTATCAAGCAAAAATCATAAAAGTAGAGATATAAGGTAAATATTATACACATTTTTTATATTTTAATTTCGAGCGTATTATTAAAAAAATTATCGTTTCATATAAAATAAACGAAAACTTTGATATCAAAACTAGTTTCATTATCTTTATAGAAATTTTATTTGAAAGAAAAGTTATGGCAAAAAAAAGTATAGCGTGGAAGTTCTTTGATATAAGCACGACTCCTCATATGAGTAAGTGCAAACTATGTGGTAGTTTAACTACGAGAGGAGGAAAATCTTTCAAGTCTTATGGAACTACAGCAATGGTAAAACATTTGCGTTTAAAGCATTCCAAAGAGTTTGAACTTGCGGAAGAAAAAAAAAAGGTTCAATCGTTGCCGTCTATTTCTGAAGCCTCAGTTGCTTCTACCACCAATACAGTACAAAGTAACATTATTCAGGCTTTACAAAAAAAAAACAGTGGAATATTGATGACCACAGATCTATTCGAATCCATAAAATAATAGGAAAACTTATCACATTGGATATTCAGCCATTTTCTATTGTTGAAGATACGGGGTTTAATGAACTGATTAAAGATGCTTACCCCAATTACAAATTACCATGTAGAACATATTTCAGCCAAAACGTAATCCCTAGATAGATCTAACTAAATTTTCCCAAGAAACTGCTGTTCTTCGAGTAATTCATTTTCCGGAAAAGCACACAGGTGTTCATATAAAAGAGTATTTACAAAAAGGTTTAGAAACTTTTGAAATCCCGTTAAGCAAAATTCATCTTATTGTTACCGATAATGCAAGCAATATGAAGGCTGCAGTAAAAAACAGTGGAATGTCATCAATTTCATGCTTTATCCATACTTTGCAGCTATGTATTCATGACTTTATATTTAGCCAAAAAATCATCAAGGAAATTTTAACTTTATGCAGAGGAATAACGACACATTTTAATCATTCACCAATAGCATGTGCAAAATTAAAATCAATTCAGCAGCAGTTAAGTACTGTACCTCACAAAATGAAACAAGATGTTCCAACTCGCTGGAACAGTTCATTTGAAATGCTACAAAGAACGTTTGAACAAAAAGTTCCTTTGGCCACCTATGCAGCAGAATATGATGAAATTAAACTTCGTACTAATTATCAATGGGGAATAGTCGAAAAACTTGTTCACATTCTTGCTCCATTTGAAAACTTAACAAAAAAATGTGGTAGGAGGGACGAAACTTGCGCACAAATTATACCATCTGTTCTTGCATTAAAAGTTTTATTACAAAAAGCTTCATCAAGTGATATACACGCTGGGATTATGACGATGATTGATGAACTAATAAAATCTGTTACTAAAAGACTTGATAAATTTTTGCTTAATAAAATGTTATGTGTATCAACATTTTTGGATCCACGATATAAATTACTTTATCAACATGCAGATGAAAATGTTATTAAGGAGTGGGTTGAAGAAGCATGGAAAGAAATGCAAGGAGCGCAAGATGTTGTTGACTCTGACTCCGACAATGCTCCAATAGTAAAAGCTCCAGCATCTAATGGATTCATTAGCATTGATGATTGTTTTAAAGATGTAGCTTCTATGAGAACCGGAAGAAAGCAAAGGGAAAGACGTTCCGAGGCAGAAAGAGAATTAGTAGATATTGAAGTTGTTACCACTGACATAATTAAAAAGCAAACAATATTAAAGTCTGCAATTACTCAAGAAATAGACAACTACTTATCTCTGCCTCTTTTAGAAAATAAAAGTTCTCCGTTTTTGTGGTGGAGTAAATGTGGAATGCAATTTGAAAAACTAAAAAAGATGGCATTAAAATATCTTACAGCACCTCCGTCATCAATAGAAAGTGAAAGGTTATTTAGTGCTGGTGGGGACATATACGAAGCAACAAGGAGCAGACTAAAAGCAGATAACGGAGAATACCTAATGTTTGTGCATTACAATCTAAAGTTAATAAAACAATTAAAATAAGATACAGCAAATAAGTGTTGTTTAAGTTCTTTTTATTTGTTTTATTTTATTCACTGTACAGTCGAGAAGGTCTACCTTTTTTTGCAATTCTTTATATTTCTTAATCTTTTGCTTTCCATAATATAACTTTCAATGGCGGAACTTCAAATTTTGCCCCTTTCCCCTCAAAATATTATTTAGGCCCGCTCCACCAGGAAAGAAAAATAATTTTAAACTAAATATAGTTGTTAAAAAACTGTTGCACAACTTTTTAAAATAGTTAGGCCCTGCAACTCAGGCCCCTTACCCTGCATTGCGGGGTTTTGCTAAATAGTACGTCGGCCATATAACTCTTTGTTAGTTAGCGTAAAAAGCGTATTTTGTGTGAATAGTTCAGCCCTAGAGATTTCACAAATTTTTATTCCAACTTTTAAAAAATGGACTCGGTGCCGAGTACCCGGACTCGACCCAGTTTTTTTAGCCGGGTACCCGGAATCGGAGACTCGGCATAAACTGGTTTCGGCACATCTCTAGTTAAAATTGGTTGAGAAAAAAGTATGTTTTTTGGTTATTTTTAGAAGATAAGTTTACCGATCAGCCTGTCTCAACTAGGATACCGATCAGCCCGTCTCAACTAAGTTTACCGATCAGCCTGTTTTAACTAGGCAAGTTGAGCAGTCAACAAATTAATGAGTATGGAATATAATGATATGGAACTTGGATAAACCATTGATAAAACTATTGTTAACAGTGAGCGAAACTAATTTATAAACTTTTTATTCTATACTCTTCAATGACGTAAATAAAATAGAAAAAAAAAATGAATAGTGTCACTAACATCAAAAAATTGTTTTATGCCTTAAACTTTGAAGCCCGTTTTAAAAATTAATAACTTATCAAAGTTGTTTCTTTGTGTTCGATAGTTTAGTTTTATTATTATTATTTTTTTCAAAGCTGCTCAACTTACCCCTACTAAACAAGGTGACACAATAGTTAGATTTTAAAGAGAACGGAAAGACTTAGAAAAACGGCTAATTATAATTGGCTAATTCAACACTTGATTGAAGGCAAATAAAAATTTAAAAGAATCTAAGAGAAAAATAATAATAACTTTTTTTTTGGTCTGTATTAGAAAAAGTACTCGTGTATTTTTCAACCATTAGATGTATCACGATGCATAGTTTTCAAGATTTTAATTGTCTAACTTGCCGCATGCTCAACTATCCCCGCTCTTCCCTACAATAATCTAATAATAAATATTTCCATTATTTTTAATAAGCAATAATTTATATTTGATACATTTTTTTTTTAATTATTGTTTATTTTAATTATTTGCCAATATATTTTTGTATGGAGAATTCTATTACAATAATAAACAATTAAGAGTGAAAAACTCTTGTTTTAATCAATATACATGCAATAAAAATTGTTTTAACAATAAGATACACCATAATGATTTATTATCAGAACTCTTGGAAAGTAAAAGTACTAAATTCCATTCTATAAATTACAATTTTATTCTTCTCCTGTTAAATGCTTACAATGGATTTAAAAGACAATTTGATGACTCTTTTTTGGAATATACTCTCGCGTGCTTATATTTTTGACAAAATGCGAAAAAAAAAACAATTTAATTTTAATGTAGCTTGTGGACAAAAGCTCATTTTTAAACAACTGTTTCATTATAATTTCAATTGGATTTAATATGCTTATTTAAGTTTTATACTACGGTAAGAAATAAACGAAAAGCTGATTTTTAAACAACCAAAATCTAACGAGATTTTCTAAAGGTCGACGACTTTTTATTATATATATATATATATATATATATATATATATATATATATATATATATATATATATATATATATATATATATATATATATATATATATATATATATATATATATATATATATATTATATATGTATATATATATATATATATATATATACAGGGCCGGCGCGAGTAGGTGTCACGTTGGGGTGGGGGGGTTGCCATTACATTTTGCCGACTAAAAAAAAAAAAAAGGTCCTCGTTTTCCAAAATTTGCCGACTCCCATGACGATATTTGCCGACTGTCTAGATTACAGACTAACCTATAGCGATAGGGTTGACATTTGCTGACTAACTAGTCTAAAAGGGTCCAATTTGCCGACTGAAAATCATTGATGGGGGAGGGGGTAACACCCCCCACACCCCCCTATTGCGCCAGCCTTGTATATATATATATATATATATATATATATATATATATATATATATATATATATATATATATATATATATATATATATATATATATATATATATATATATATATATATATATATATATATATATGTATATATATATATATATATATATATATATATATATATATATATATATATATATATATATATATATATATATATATATATATATATATATATATATATATATATATATATATATATATATATATATATATATGTATATATATATATATATATGTATATAAATCAATATATGTATCAAAAAAAATTTATCTGATTTTTTTTTATTTTTTATTTTTGAGATGTTGTTTTCAACAAGTGAAAATCAAGAATGGGGAGGGGGATCTTAATAAGATTGTTCCGAAGTCCCCTGCCGTGTATTAAGCACCTAAAAGCACGGCAAAAAAGTGGCGGGAAAAATCACACGTCTAGATTACTCACAATATTTACATTTTTGGCATAGCTAAACATTTTTGCTTGTTTGTTTAAGCTGATTTCATAATAATAACTTGTTTTAATTTTTTAGTTTTATATGCTATAGTTTAATAATTATTTTATATTTAAAAAAACAACGTCTTTTTACTTTTATGAGTACTACTGGTTTGTTCATATGCAATAAATTTTTGCTTTTGATGTTACATTTTGTTTTAAAGAAACATGTACTACAAACAATAAGTGTTTTAAAGTTTGATGGTTTTAAGCCCCTTCTCTTAGATATATACTTCGAGTAATTCAATTAAGCTAATTGTGATTTCTAGAAATAATTAAATTTTATTTTTGTATTTTTATTATAATGTTTACACTAAGATTTCTTTAAAACTTTATTTAGATTAGTCTTAATAAAGTTTTAAAGAAGAAAAAATTAGATTATTTAGATTATGTTTACTTTAACTAGTAAAGAAAATAAAAGACACTTACCTAATTTAGATAAGTGTATTTCTATTTTCTTTACTAGTTAATGAAAACAAAAGAAAGCTTTAGATTCCAAAGTTTTCTTTAGTGTAATCTTTTAAATGATTCAAGAAATAGTAAGAGATTTTTTTTTTTCAATTGTCTCTTACTTGTCTCTTACAAGAAATAGTAAATGACAATTGTTTTGGTTTATATAAATGTGTTTTACTAGTAGTATAAAAAATAGACATATATAATTAGTATTATTAGAAATTTTATTTATACCTTATTTACTTTTATTTATACATTATAGTTATAGAATTCTTAATAAGTTGTTCAATTTGTGTTGTTTCCCATGACTCAAGCTATGCTTAGCCAAATAACTTGAAGCTAAAACTTGATTTTTAATCAATTTATTCTTTAGCTAATAGGATAATACAAATCAAGTTATAAAATAATTATAATTAACATCAAATATCATATTATATCACCAGTTGAAAATAAAAACTTTGTAACAATTAAGTTACAAAGTTTTTATTTTCAAATTGTAACAATTAAGGTACAATTAGTAGATAATTACATTCATCAATATTGATTACAAATTTAACAGATTAAATCTTAAAGAAATTTTTATTAGAAATAAATAGTTGATATAAATGAATTATTTTATGAGTCATAGCTATTAGAACTATTACCACATTTAATTAATAATATATTACCGCTATTATTATTAATACGAAATATTTCCACCATCACTACTACTACTACTACTACTACTACTACTACTACTACTACTACTACTACTACTACTACTACTACTACTACTACTACTACTACTACTACTACTACTACAACAACAACTACTACTACTACTACTGCTACTAATACTACTACTACTACTACTACTACTACTACTACTACTACTACTACTACGACTACTACTACTACTACTAATACTACTACTGCTACTACTACTACTACTACTACTACTACTACTACTATTACTACTACTACTACTACTACTACTACTACTACTACTACTACTACTATTACTACTACTAATATATATATATATATATATATATATATATATATATATATATATATATATATATATATATATATATGTATATACAACAATCATTTTTGGTTGTTTTTAAGAGTGTTCATTTGTGTACCAAATTTGTAAAGGAGCTCAAATACCAATATAAAATACGATTTAGTTTATAGAATAAGTAAAATTTTAATAACTTTACAGTTTACAAAAGCAGTCTGAATCAAGAAAACTTTCTCATTAAATTTTTTTCTTCAGTGTCCTTCCTGTCTATTTATCACATGCTATCCCTGTGTTTACAAATCAATTAGACCTTCATCTTTACACTTTTTTTAAAATAAGAAACATGATTTGTTGTCAGTCTTGAATTAGTTTCTTCATTTAACTTTAGAGTGTTTTAAATTTTAAATATTTTTTTAATGTTTCTTAATTGAAATTCTCTAAATATATAACTTGCAGTTTTTCAGACAAGTCTTTTAAGCTTTATAGATTGTTTTCATATAATTTTTATTAAAAAAATAAAATTATTAAATTCTTTAATAATTATGTTAAACAATTTCAGTGACAAAAGTTTTGTTGTAGCTAATTTTTCAAACAACTTAAGTAGATCAATTTGTTAAAGAAAATTAATACAAATAATGTAAAAATAAATAAAATTAAAATAAATGCTTATTATTACAGTTAAGCTGTTTTAAAGTCAACGTGAAACTTGTGATAGTAGTAATTTTGTTTAATATATAATCTGAAGATTATTACAAAGCATATGCAACATGCAATATGGCATTTGTAAAAAGCGGCAAAAATGAAGATGTCTTCAAAGGTTGTCTAGAAGAAAAAATGAAGTCAAAAGTATGTTTAAATAAGGTATTTGAAATGTTGAATATATTTTTTTATTAAATAATTTTATGTAATCTTTGTTTTATAAATGTACATTGAATAAAATATATTTAAAATGATAATTTCTAAAATATTGTATAATGTATAGGCTACCATGGCATACGAGGAAAGTGATGAAAAAAAAGAAATCATTGAAAGTGGCCAAGTGGAAGAAGAGGAGTCAAAGTTATGTTTAAAGAAAGTATTAAAAAATTTAATTGACTATTTTATTATATATTTGATTTAATGTTTTCAGTTAGTGCTACCTATATTTTATGGTGTATTGGGTCTGTTTTTTTTGGTACACCCTCTCTCAACTCTATAGCTTGAAAACACAAATATTTTGGAACAAGGTTGCTGCATAAAGAAATGAAATGGTTGATGATGAAAATGATTCAAATGCTAAGCATGTTTCTCTGCAAAGCAATCTTATTTTAAAAGATTTTGTTTCATAGTTTAGGGTTTAACGAGAGTTTCTAATGAAATTAAAAAATAAAAAAGTAGCCTCCTTAAGTGCAGTGACAGTGCCGTACCCAGTCGTTATCTCATACCGTTTTACCGGTATGGGCGCCCAAACTAATACGCCCAAACTAAAAACTGCACATATCTTAAATTACAGCATTTGTAATGTCTAACATTATTTCATAGAAAAAATTGACCCTCTCTTTTCAATTTGTTTTTTTTTGTATAATATACTTTTTTAATTTTTAGATGGCTGAAATTTCATTAAGCAATCAAGTTCTTGATATAGAAAAAAAGCTAAATAGTGCAACAACTCTTAATGGTCACGAACTTACTACTATAACTGAACTAAACCGAAGTAGTTCACTGTATTCTCATTCTATAGAACTGTAAGTATGTATATATTTTTTATATTTTTGGATTAATAGCAGAGTTTAGATTTATAAATAAATATAGTTATTTTAAATGTATATAAAGATGTAATTGCCTAATTATTTTTTTTAGATCTGTGAAACAACTTTTTACTGTTAAAGATGTTCTTTTTTTATTATTACTATTTTTATTTTGTTTTATAATAAAGCTGTGACTGTATTAATACAGCTAATGTGATTGACACACTGAAACAGTCATTTGCAAAAATTAGTTGCTTAATTTATAGTTTTTTTATGTGTTTTTCAAGTTTGTTTTTAAACTGATTTAATCTATGAAACTACGTTTACTACTTCCACTGGTAAATCATTCTATGCGGTTTGATTGATTAAGGAGAAAATTTTGTCTAGAAGCACTTTTAGTAAATTCAGCTTGGTATCTAAAATTATTTATGTGTGTCTGAATCAGATTTTTTTTGTATATTTGCTCAAAGAAATTGAATCCATGTAAAGTTAGAATTACACTATCTTTTTTATTGATGATTTTAAAAATTTATATTAAGTTATCTCTTAAACGTCAAGTTAAAGGTTTTGTTAAATTAAAGCTTTTTTTTAAAAAAAAAATACAAGGATTTTATTAAATTAATTTTTTTTTTTTTTTTTTGATTTAAGCGTTTTTTTGATCATTCAAATGCCTTGATAAAATCATCTTGAAGAGCTGATATATAGTTGTTGTAAATTTGATTAATGATTTTAGTATCATCAGCAATTAATTTTGATGTGTTAGTTAGGTTTTTTGGTAAATTGTTGATATATATATATATATATATATATATATATATATATATATATATATATATATATATATATATATATATATATATATATATATATATATATATATATATCAGAGGCTATTCTAGACTGTTTTCAACAGCATTGACCATATTTGGGTGCTGCCCAAATAATTTATTCGATGATTTATTATCTAATTTCTGAATTTGATGGTTAAACTATATCCATTTCTAAATCAATGGATGAAGGTAAAATATTACTTAAAGGGATCCCCAAGTGCCGAGACAAGTTGTGTTCATATCATAGATAAACATTAGAAAATAAGTTTAAAACTAACTTTCCAAAACAAACTATTGAATGAGATATTAGCAAAAGCATTTTTTGTTTTGCCATTATACTTCTGGTTATAAGGTTAATATTAATCTTACGAATCCGCATAGTGTTTTGTGTTAAAAAAAATCTGGTTTCAATCAATAATAAATGTTTTCGCTCACCGCAGAGTTTTTTAAACTCAGTTCAGTTTTACACAATCAGATTGGGTTTTCCCCTTTATATTTAGTCTGTGGTGGTTATAAAAAATGTTCACTGTAGCATGCAGGCCTCGGCGGGAACAAATGAGCACAAGAGCTGAGAAAAGCTCTCCTAAAACGAATTTGGGGAGCTGTGCGAGCTGCTCCTCATTTAAATTAGCACTCTTTTGTAATTTTAATTATACCTTCATGAGAAAAATTATACTTTTGCGAGAGCCGTAAATTGCTCCTGTAAACTGTTTTAGGGGAGTGTGGGCGAGAGCGAGAGCTAAAGCTCTTGCTGTCCACCGAGATCTGAGCATGTTTTGTTTTTTGTTTAACATATCGTTAAGTGTTTGAGTTAAATAAAGTAGCATAATAAAAATAGTGAAGCGAACTTTAAAATACACAAAATGAATATTTTTCTTAGAAAATAAGTTATTATTTCTAAAATAGGCAGACGTGTAAACGACGCACCCCTATGAAGTTCTAATAATCGTGACCAAAACTGTCCCAATCCTTACGGTTAATTAATGAATGTATATTTCGTTGTTTTAATCTCTAATGGTTAGTTAAAGCATTTACATTTAATTCTATTTATCACTTATGATCAATTGATGTAATTACATTATAATTAATTTAATTAATTAATTTTAATAGGTCAGTAAAATATCATTTTCGATAAAACGTGCTTTAAACTTAAAGGAACTTTTTGTGTTGACGTCAAATATAAGCGTATTAATCAGACCTGATTTTAAAAATAAAAATAATCAAAGAAAACGGAACTTTCCTTCACCAGAAACAAAATGGTGTTAAAAATTAAAAAGTTTTTTGTTAATACCTCATTCAATAATTTGTTTTAGAAAGTTTTATTAACTTTTAACTTATTTTCTAATGTTTATTTATGATATAAACACAACTTGTCTGGGAACTTGGGGATCCCTTTAAATATAATGAATACTGGAAATTTTGAACAACGTAAATATAATTAAATCTATTGGCAGTGACAAGGTTCGCCCTAGAATTCTTAAAGAATGCTCAATGCCACTAGCATATCCAATTTTACTAAACTTTGAAAAATCCAGCTTCCAGCAAAGTACTAAATTATTGGAAAGAAGCAAATGTCACTCCCATCTTCAAAAATGGTAATAACTTATGCCAGAAAACTTCAGACATGGATTCTTGCCTTGAAAATCATGTATAACTAATTTGTTAGACACTATTGACCTTCTATCAACTTGCATGGTAAACAATAACTCAGCTGACATCATTTACCTTGAATTGACCAAAGCATTTGACACTATTTCTCAAAGACTTTGGCCTAAATTAAGAAATTATGGTACATGTAATCGTCATATAGATTAAATCATTCTTAGAAAATAGGAAGCAAAGAGTAGTAATTAACCAAATTGAGTCCGATTAGAAAGATAATTTTAGTGGTATTCCTCAAGGTTCTGTATTAGGTCTTCTTTTTGTCATCTATATCAATGACTTACCAAAAAACCTAACTAACAAATCAAAATTATTTTCTGATGATACCAAAATCATCAATTAAATTTATTACAACAACTCTATACCAGCTCTTCAAGATGACCTAATCAAGGAATTCCAATGGTCAAAAAAATACCTTTTAATGTTTAACTGTAAAAAATGTTATGTTATGCATATTGGGAAAAACAATCCAAAGCTCGATTACTTCATACCTGATCCTAATAATGACAATTTAACAACTTTAGAAAAGTCTATATGTGAAAAAGATCTAAGTATTAATTTCTTGGCAGTCTTAATGCTAATTGCATTAGCTCTGCGTCTAAAGCAAATTGAACACTTGGTATAATAGAGTACTTTTTTTTTTATATAGATAAACAGATGTATAAAGTTCTTTTTATTTTCTATTTTATAAATTAAAAAAAAGGGGAAAGTAACCAGTTTGTTTACTTTGGTTGCTCGCCATTGTTTTGAGTTGCTTGTGGCTATTTATAATAACTATCACTTTCATCATAGCTCTTGCGTATTCTAGTCATTTTTCCTTACAGAGCTAAGTATAGACTGGAAATAATTTGCGTAAATAGAAGTAATAAAAAGTAGCGATGAATCTATGTGCGATGAACAGTTGCTAAACAATTTCATCCACAGTGTATACAGCCTACTGTCAAACAAGTTCAGTAATGGTTTGGGGCTGTTTTGCTTCTAATTAAGTTGGTAATATTGTGAAAATAAATGGAATTCTTGATAAGAATGGATATCATTTTGATATCCATTCTTATCAAAATAAGAATATATCACAAACAAAACAAAATATTTTTTTGTTTTGTTTGTGTTATATTGCATAAACTTGCTTATTTTTATCGTAGGTTTAAAGACATTGATTAGTTTGTAATTATGTGTAATGATATTTGGTTAATTTTTTTTTTTTTTTAACATCTTTGCTTGCAACAAGGCTGCAAGCAACCACTAATTTGTGTTGGAAGTTACTGGAAGAGAAAAGATTGTAGAGCAAGATAATGCTTGACAGACGACTTAAAAGTTTGCAAATTATATGAATCAGGAAAGCAAGATAAAGGAAGCAAATTCCAAAGAACTGATGTTCGAGGAAAAAAACTAGACGAGTAAGAGTTTTTGGAGCACTTGGAAACAGTAACAGAAAAAAGATGAGACTTAATTGAATGACGAGTAACACGAGAGTGAGTTTAAGTAGATGTCACAAGAGACCCTAGCTCTTTATAGCAGTGCCCATTATAGTTTTTGTAGAAAATAGAAAAAGAAGCAACATTACGGCGATGTGATAATGGTTGAAGGTTGCAACATGTGATAATGGTTGAAGGTTGCATAGTTGGACCTGCAAGAGCAGGTCTAACTATGTTTACAATGCATTTTTGCACCTTGTCTGAAAGAGAAAGGGCATCATTAGAAGATCCGCCCTAGATATGGCAACAGTATTCCATACAAGGTCAGATTTAAGATTTATAGAGATAGAGAATAGAATCCAGAGTAAGAAAGTTTGAGCTCAATAATGAGATGCAACTTTAGCATATGCTAATTTTGCAACGGATTTAATATATGGTTTCCAAGAAAGATCGGAAGAGTTCATCCTAGAAGATGAAGGGTAGATGACTCATCAAGTACATTACCATTCATAAATATAGGAAGATCTAAATTATTGTGATAACGATTGGCTGAAAAAAATTGAGTTTTATCTGAATTAAAGTTCACCAGCCACTGTGAGCCCCATGGTGTAGCAGAAGTGAGATCTTTTTCAAGCTCAAATGCCCCCTCCAAGCAATCAGAGAGAGTTGGCTTTTTATCATGACAAGAATAAATGGTAGTATCATCAGCGAACAATGCCACCTTAGATATGAAAATATCTGGAAGATCGTTAATGTAAATTAAAAAGAGTATAGGGCCAAGGATTGAACCTTGAGGAACCCCTAAGGTTACAGAATAAGAAGAAGAGTGCTGTCCCTCAAGGACAACTTTTATACTACGATTAGAAAGAAATGATTCAATAATCTTAAGGATGTTTCCAGATACACCGTAAGTTGATAGCTTATGGAGAAAACCAGCATTAGGGTGTGTCGATTTTCACTTTTTTTTAAAATTTGATGATGGCTAGTATTTTTTTTTTGTAAATCCATATGCAAAACATGAAAATAATTTTTTTTTGAAAAAAAAAGTATTTTAAGCTACTTTTTTTTACTCTCAAACTTTTATTTTTTT